AGGGAGGCACCACAGACGCAGGCAGGAGAGACGCAGGCGGCAGAGGGCGAGAATCGGTGTGAGAGTGAGACCGACGGATTCGGATGCCAGGGGCGCAGAATGCCCTGTCGGCCACTCGGGGCCATAAATGCCCCTATGTCCCTAAATCACTGGGTGTCAGGGCTCTGGCACCTGCAACCAAATGGCTGGCCAGGCTACATCCTACACAGCCCGAGCCAGCGCCCGCCCTCGAAGCAGAGAAGGCGGCCTTGGCAGGATCCCTGAGGGGCGGCGACTTGTGAAGCAATTTCTAAAGCTCGTGGGACTCACGATTCTGAAGGCTGGGAGGTCCAACAGCAGGGCGGCCACATCGGCTGGGCCTCTGGGGAGGGCCACGTGCTGTGCCACCTCAGGGCGGGAAGGCGGGAAGGTGGGAAGACGCACCCTGTAGGTAAGTGGGTACCTCTTACGTCAACCGGCTCTCAAGAACTCTCGCGACAGCTCCACCCATCCATCCGCCCGTGGGGGCGGGGCCTCCCTGACCAAAGGCTTCTCTTTAGGCCCCACCTCTTAAAGGGTCCGCCTTCCATCCCTGTCGCACTGGGACCAATCCCCAGCTTGAGTTTCGGTGGGGACAACAACATCCAAACCACAGCAGGTTTGTGGACTCTCTGAGGGCAGAGAGTTCACTGGAGACGCTAGTGCAGTGGTTAGGGAATGGGCCGAGAACCTGGCTGCGTCCTGCAATGTGAGACTGAACCTAGAAAGTTCACTGGCATCATCAGGAACCTTCTGCTGTCAGGAAGGCGGCCTTTGGCTGACATCTGTGGATAAATGGATAAAGATGTACTACGAGTTCTTATCACCCTGAGGAATCTCAGTGCCTAGAATAGCAATGAAAACTGAAGATCCTTGCATGATCTTCTCGATCCTGGAGAACCAAGACTGGGCCTCAGAAGCTTCCGGGCTTGTGGTTTAAAGGCCATGGGCATTAATTCCAGACAGACCTGGGGCTTGAACCTCTGTCCCAACGCCTGTCATCTTTCCTTGGGCAAGTCTATCACCCCTTTAAGCCCAAGTTGCCACGTACGTATCCTGGGAATGGCAATGGAATCCATCTTGTGGGAGTGCTCTGGGGTATTAAGGAGAGAGGGCAGCATCACCCTAGATAAATACCTCATTGGGAGATACTAGAGGTGATCACAGGAGGACAGAAACCAACACTTCCTGTTTTAATACTTGTGCATTTATTTTGAAGGTTACTATCTGCTTTTTGGTAAGTGATAACTAGCTTTGCAGTGATCTAAGTTTCTCTCCAAATAATTTTTTTGAAATAAAAAGAGGGCCAATTTAGGGTCAAAGTGATATGGATGGAACTTTCAAGAGACTCAAGCAGAACTCATACAAATGAAGTCTGAGAAACATCGAGATAATCCCCGATACTGGGCACATTTTAGGTGCTTGTTAAAGTGCTATAGATTGAGATGGAATGACGTTTTACTCAGCTGCAGGCAGCCAGGCCAGGGCTTGATGGAAATGCATGAAAGGGAAGATGCCAGAGGTCAGTGACCTTGGGCTAGGGAGTGGGGGTAAGTGCTTTGATGCCTGATAAAGCACCAGGCACATTGTGGCTGATTCAAGTGGTTCTTAGGGGGAAGCATGAATCTCAGAGGAAATGATTTGAGGGAAGTTAGCCCAGGGCAAGCCCTGGCACTTGGACTCCTAATCCTCTCCTTGGATCTGGAAAGCGTCCCACCTCGAATGCCTGGCCACTCTTGACAGCTGTCATCACACCCAGCACACAGGAACAGGAGCCCAGGGCAGAGTCCCATAAGATGAGTCCTTCAGTCTGTTGTAGGAGGCTGCAAGGAATGGCACAGCCAATTCTGGGGCCTGGAGACAGTCTTCCCTAGGGTGGAGAATCCAAGAGACCCTCAACATAGATGGCTTTTAGGGAGCTAGACAGAAAGTAAATGAATCAACCTGGCAGATAGGAAACACGGATGCTGGGGATGGTTCCTCACTGGAGGGGTCGTGGGTCCCTCTCAGAGTGACATTTTCCCTGAGTTGCTTCACAGGCCACATGAGATCCCATATGTAAGTGTTTGACATCATGCCTGTCACCAAGACAGGGCTCAATAGACGGCAGCTATGAGCTACCATCATGGTATCAGGGTTGTTGTCAACCTAAAATGAAGATTACCAAATCCCAGAAAAGTCCAATGGCCTGGTGATTTTCTGACTACAGAGCACAAGAGGTCAGCTGTTGGGAAGAAAGGCCCTGGTTAGAAGCAGGTCCAGTTTGTATTTCATCTCTGACTGATTCTATTGTCATCTTGGACAGCAGAGATTTCTTTAAATAGAGATATGAAAAACAATACTTTTAACCTTTAAAAACCCTTCCTACCTTCAGACCAAGAGAGTATTAAGAGAATAATAGAGTAGTGCTTGAAGCAAAAAATTAATTAAACTGATGAATTACTCAGTGTACCTGAGTTTTAAAGATTTATACTAATAAAGAATTTGGGGGGACCAGCAGGTAGCATGGTGGTTAAGGCGCTAGACACTCCCAAATGGCCGACCAGTGTTGAGTCCTGAATCAGGTGGCTTTCTTTCTTTTTTTTTCTTTTCCCTTTTTCTGAAGAGTTTTTTTGTTTTTGTTTTTGGCTTTTGTTATAGAGCACATGCGCTCGCCAGACAGAGAGATAGAAAGCGAGAAATCACCCCCTAGGGGGATGGCCACGCCACAATCCCTTCTCCTCCTTTGTCCTCTCGGCATCTTGGGCACGCACACACACGCACCCCGCGTGAGTTTAAGCCACCGGGTCTGGGACT